TCCAATAATCCTTCGTATCACCTCGCCGACCCCTATAGGCCTCACTGCACCTTCACCTTTATCCAGGGGAGTCAATCGGCTTGCCACCAGTGGCTCTATGGTTGCAGGGTCGATATAAGTTGTACATAGAGTCCTTGTCATTGTGGCTATCGCCTCGCATAATTTTGTAGACGACTGTTTAAAGGATTTAAAGGATAATAATAATAATAATAATAATAATAATAATAATAATAATAATAATAATAAATAATAATAATAATAATAATCAAATTTATTGTAGGGGGCGGAGGGGTAATGTTCCCGGACCTAGTCCGCCTTCCGGGTGGCCGCCTTCGGTAGACAATTCTCCGAGCTCCCCTTCACCAACTCCTGGATCCACCCCTGTCATAATGTGAAAATGTTGCCAAAAATACGTACGGAGGACGGCTGCTGTATGTGTGCCAAAGAAAAGCTTCTTGAACCCAAAATCAATTGCCGTAGACAGATGGGCGAAATGGCTGCCAAATAAGGTTTGTTTTAATGCAACGAAGTGGGCAAAGAGAGGCGGGCAAAATACTTTATTAATTGCAATTGTAATCTCTTCATAAATCATTCATTCAATGCATCCCGAAAAAGTTCTGCCTCTCCAGACGGTTGTCATGGCCCTAATGCCGCGAAGGACTGGATTCAAGGAACCCACTCAAGTGTAGCCTCATTTGAATTTGAAAAGCACAGCAAGAACTCCCTTGGTGAATTTTCCTTCCATTATTTTCCCATCAAGACTCGCCGCTTCTTTTGAGAGAACTTTGCTTCGGTGACCGGAAAATAGGTTTCTTACTCGAGAAAATGGAGGGCAGATTCTTGTGGCTTGTTCTAGTTCTGTTTTCTGTGTTTGTTCTACGCGTTTTCTCCCTCGACAAGTGTGCGCAGGTAAATGTTTGTGAGGCGGAATTTTTCGCGCTCGAGATTATAATTGCCGGCTTTCAAGGTTAGATGTTTAGTTGAGTTTTCTGTGTCCTGCTTCTAAACGAGATCAAGTAGGAAGATCCTTAACTGTGTATTTAAACTTCTTTACATTTATGTCCTACATTTTGTCGTGTTCTTTTAGGATAAACTCACGTACGAATTCACCGAGTGCGATTCGGCCGAAGGCAGATGGCGTGTCGCAGTTCCAAAACAACCTGATTCCTGTGAGGCCAGCGAGGTTCCTGTACGCCAGAAAACCTGTAGTAAGTATACTTTAAATGAACTAAAAGGATGATTATTTGATTTTCGATGGAAAGCGAAGCCGTATTTGACAGGCCTTTCTGTTTCTATAGCTGGCAAAATGCTCTTGAAACTCGGTTACGAGAAGCTACACAGCACAAGTACAAATTTACATACAAAAGTAGCTGACGATTGAATCTTTCTGAAGCATGTATTGGTTTCGACCGCTTTTATATGCACTTTCGCATTATTGTGGCCCCATTTTGGCGTTTTCCGACACATTAGAGTCTCGAGGAAGAAACGTATTGGATTATCTAACGAAGAAGGACGGGTTTCGACCCGGAAAACGCTTTCGCAAGAAAGTGATTTTTGGGTATTGTCCTTCACAAAATATATGCTTGATTATTCAATTCATGGCGAATCGTTCTTTGTATGTGCTTGATAGGCCGTTCTTCGTTCTTTCCTCTATTCCTTATTAAAATATTTGTGCTCTTCTTAAACATTGAAGTCTCCATCTTTTGGATAGGAAGTGGAAACTTGATTCCTTGCAATGTAAAATTTAGAGGGTTTAGTGATTCTTATCAGAAGATGGAGCTTGCTTCACGTGAAAATACCCGCGATTTGGAAATATTTTGGCATAAATTAGATTTGTGTCGTATTGCTTCCTAGGCGTTTTTACATGCAATCTCTCCTGTTAGGCGGTAGAAATTTCTTGAATTCTGTCTGCCGGTGCGGTTTCGTATGTCTTTCCTGTTATTTTATACCCTATTTCTATGCCTTCAATAAGAACTTCAATAAATCAGTACATTTTAACTACATTGTATGTTCTTTATCCTGGAGATGAAAGCTCAAGGGATTTGAATTGAAATGCTTAGTTGCTAACTTCTATTTGCCATGAATAATTTGTAAAACAATATGCCTGTCTGGTTAAAATTCTTTTTGCAAACAAATTATTTTCAAGCTGACTGATAATCGCTTGTTCTCCTGAAGCAAGGTACAAATTCCAAATGAAAATTTGAAAAATTGTGAAAATAATGTTTTTTTTACCTCACACGTATTGTATGATCTTTTAATAGTTAAGCAGCCCTTGCAGTGAAAAATACAAATATATTTTTAATTATTTAAATAAGCTGCCAAGTTGTTCCAAACTGAGCTTTGGGTGAATGGAAGTTGCAAATTTTCTTTGATTTCATGACTTTGAAGCAATTGTAGAATACCCAGCAACAACCTGAAGAGCTAACCAGAGCTCTTTAAGCTCGAGGCAGTTTGAAAGGATGGGCGCTATTGCCATATTGAACAAGATGCATATAAGTTGCTGGATATTAAAAAAAATTAGCAATGACTTTTGGCTTGATGTGCTTCGTATTGGATGACTTGTTGTGAGTGACATTTACTTTTGATCAGGCCAAAATCTGACCAAAATGATCGCCCCTTTTTCTTGTGGCTGCTGTTCTGCTGTTCTTTTTCAGTTGCAGCTGCACAGTCCTGATTGGCTATAACACAAAATATACATTTAAGGTGTTCGCGGTTTTCTTAGTTCGTCAGTTATTTTTGACTATGTTCTTCTTGTCCGGCACCACTCTGTTATCACTGGGGTTTTTAAGAAAATCACCACAGCAATGCTTATGGGAACGTGACTAAACAAAAGGTTTAATGAGCAGTACAATGGCTGTGCATGTGTATTATCATTCTTTGTTCATTTCTTTGCCATCCTCTGCAAAACAATAACAATAACAAAAAACCTGGAGAACGAAAACCACAATGGCTACAATAGCTTTTTAAATTTCTTATTCAAATTTAATGTTATGTACCTTATTCACTTTTGAGATAGATCTGATAAAGAGAAACAAAACGACTTGAGTCAAGTATTGTATGGTTAAATTCATAGGAAACATATAAATTGATATTTTAACCAACGCTGTCCTTGTTGTCACTGCCATGGTTAATTAAATTCCCCAATGATGGTCGTATGCACAACACTGATCATTTTCTGTATGTGGTCCTAACATTGTACATCATCATTATTTTAAATTATTTAAACTACATCACATTTTCTTATATGAGACATCTATGAATCATGCTTGGTTGAAGCCACTTTGATTCCTCTTAGAAACACACTCACACTACCTTTCTTCCTATAAGATTACAAAATGAGTATTGTTTGATGTACAAGGGGAGTCGGTAAAAATCCTGGGAAACCCTAAAATAGAATAGCATCCTATCAGGGTGATTAGAAAATACTAAGGACCAGTCAGTTCATGCTGAGAAATTGTCCTGAACACAGCACTACATGACTGTAGCCAGACTAAAATTCTAACCAAGGCAATATCAGAAAAACACACATTTCTTTTTTATTGATTTAACAACTGCCTCTCAAAGTGGAGGTTGGGTGCCTAAGGCATCCAGGAGCTTCCACTGTTGGCAGCCAGCTCCTAGATGGAGACCGCTCACATTGCTGGCAAATCCTGGTAACCCAGCCATGAGGCCCCATGTATCAGGGAGAAAGCGGGCACCCATCGCACTGATAAAACAGTAGAAAGGAAAGGGGGGACCGGGGAGGGGAAACAACCTCTAAGGTGACTGGGATGCTTGAGGAAAGCGCTGACAATTGGAAACTACTTGAATGCCTTGTGGCCCAAGAGTATGTGGAATCCTGGCGCATGTGCAGATCTAAATGCTGCTGACCGCAAAGGCAAGACTTGCGCTCCTTCTTGTTAACTCTGTTAAATTGCATTTAACGGCATTTATTCTCTTAAACAACACATTGTAGCTTCTTTTTGAAACTTGAAATAAATTAATAAATGAATTCTAAGTTCTTACCTGCACTTATAAGCTATCTGTGGCTCCTATTCCTAGAACAAGAATAAATTTTGCCTGTAAGTACAAGCTGCATGTAAAAATTGTTTGTGTGGCTCTACACTGTATGTCTCCTGTAACATGTTCTTGTTTTTCTTTCATTTTCCAGTTTACACTTGTGATCCAGGCCACTATGTTGATGTCACAAGTAAATCATTGGAGTGTAAAACGTGCCCAAAAGGTACCTACAGCGTTGGCGGAGGCGTGCGTTTTAACAACTGGGATAAATTACCCACTGGTTTTGACAGCCGCATCTCAGATGAGCATTATTCAGGATATGGGTACGACAGTGAATATTTTACAGAAGAAAACGGAGCCAACTGTTCAAAGTAAGTTTATAATTAGTAAATAAATGATTTGCAAGATTTGCCCGTAATCCCAGATCAGGAAACTTTGAGAATTTAGTATTGGACCTTGTTGATTCTTGTATTATTACTGTTAATAATTATTATTTTAAGAGAGATCAATTTCATTGATCAATGTACATTGTAACCTTTTTTGTAGAGGACACTCAACATGTTGCTGTTGAGTTTTAGAAACATAAGGGAAAGTTTAGGAGAACAAGGAATACTTTGGAAACAGGGGCTGGAGATTAGTGTTTCCACAGCGTTTTCAAGTTCTTTGTACTTTCAAATCTCATGTACCGGTAGTGTTTAGCCATGGGCTTTGTACCTAATTTCTGGATTTATTGTAGGACTGGATGGACGCCCCGTGGAGACCATATTGCCTCACCAGGAGATGAGTGTACCTCAGAGTTGTCATATGCTGTCACTGTAAGTTACATGTACCTCAGCAGGCATAGTTATCAAGATCTTCAAGTAAATTCTCCTTGCAATCAGTAAATTGCAAAATAGACAGCTGATAAGAATTGAAAATCATCCAGGGCTGTCATCAAGTGTCGAGTTGCCTGTTGTTCTGTACTTTGCAGTCGTAACAAACTTGTTACTCTGTGTGTGAACTGTATCAACAACAGGCAATTTCACCTGTAACATCAAGGACCAATCGTGCATACCAACATCATGAAGCACAGTGTAGATTACAACTCTTGTTTACTTTATACTATTTTCTTCAGTGTTTTGTCAATTTGCCATAGAATATTGATGTTTACTTTAGAATTCTCCTTTGTCCCATTTGATGACATTTTATTTTATTGACATAGTTGCTTCCATTTTTCTTTGACAGCTCCAAAAGGATGGGCACGTGTCATTTGATTACTACTACACTGATGATACCTACACTGTCTTCCGTGTTTTTGTGAGTACGATGGCAAAGTTGTGATACAAAGTGATGTAGCTTACATGTAACAGTGTCCACAAGATTTTTACTAGGTTGACCATTAGAATAATTATTTAATACATGTAGGAGCACTAATGTCTTGTTGTCTAGTTTTGAAAAGATTGGGTGAAAAAATTCCAAGGACTTCCACAGTATTACTGGCAGTCAGAAGAATGTAGTGAATTCAATTATTTCCTGAGTGGATGGCATGTGGTTGTAATACCTGTTTATCAGAATTGGGCAGAGAGCTGTCCAAATCACTTGCTGATTTTGTCATTATCCAAACGAAGAATAGGCCATTTTCAAGTTGCCTTGTGCCGCTGTTTCAAAACGAGTCTAAGTGCAAAACCATTCACATGAAAATGAGTTTAATTTGCATGAAAATGAACCTGTTGGCAGAACTCATTTTCTCATGAATAGTTTTGCACTTAGACCCATTTTGACACAGATGCAATTTAAGGCAACTTGGAAATGGTCTATTAATTTGAACAGATTTTTAAATTTAAGAAACAGTTGTTGTGCTTGCTTGTTTAGGCTGGCAATATACTTAATAATGTAATTTGATTTTCCAGGTAAGAAATGAACAATGTAAAGTCAGCAGCCTGGATCACAAAGACTCATATATTCCCAGCTCTCATAACAATGAATGGCTTACCACAACGGTAATTATATTAATTATTGTATCAAGACTTGTACTTTGTGTATATTAAACTTCTCAATCATTCAGAGGTCAAGTGCCATTTGTGCTTTATAAGTCTGGTGATATAGTCTTGTACAGTATGTTATCCATTTATATACAGAGGTCTACATTGTGAACATTTGACAACAGGCTTTTAGCCAGGATTTTAAAACTTGGCATCCAAATTGTGCTAAGATTTTCTCAAACAAATAATTTATAAAGCGACATGCGAAAAAAAAATTCTTTCAAAATTGGGTGTCCACAGCATGCCTGGAGCACCTATCTGGTTAAAAGCCTGTTTTGACAAGCAATCTTTCAAGACCATTCTGTGGATGTTTTACACTTGGAGAAAAGCTGAGAGCTGAGACAGCATCAAGTCCTTAATAAGAGAATTGTGAAGAAAGGTTCAAGAAATGTTTTGTAAATAGATGTCTCTTTGATTTTAAAGAGACTGTTCAGTTGTTAGTTTTTAGTCTTGGGACAGTTTTTAACTCTATAAGTACCTTGTAAGTTTTAACGTCTGTTTGAAATGATGAATGATGAGAACCAAGAATTTTAAAGTTACACAAACAAGCGAACAAGAGAAAATAGTTTGAAGTACTACTTCAAGTCAATCTTTTGAGCATTGGTCCGTCAGTGTTCCAGATAAGCGAGGGTTCTCAGGTCAAACACCTGACAAGATAGGCTAAATGACCGGACAAATTAATAGAAAATTTATTTTGATTTGGTGGGAGCAGTGGAAATTGACCCATTCAAATTCCTTGTTGACACCCCACCTTGAAAAGTGGAACCCTGGTCTGTTGGGCAAATGTTGAATAACACAACACAGACACATAAATTTATGATTACTGATTGCATTGAGCAAGTACAGATTGAGGGCTGGGTGCTGGGAAAAGCGCTGCCTCACTGGCTGCGAGTATGATTTTGCTTACAAGTCTTTTTTGACCATTTTGAGGGTATTTTTTTTATTAAGAATTTCAGCTCAACCTAAAATGACTGCCTGTGAAAACCAGTTTCCTTCTTACTAAAAAGCTTAAGTAGCAACATCCCTGCAGCTTATTTCTATCTGTAGATTTATAGCAGGTAGACCTTGACTATCTACTCGCTAAACAGGTACATCGCACATTTTATACTTTTTACAGGTCAATTTAAAAGCTGGAAGAAATGTGATCATCTGGCAAGCAACAGCCATTACTTATGGTGGCAAACATGACAACAGAGAGCCTGTCTATATCAAGAGTATTGAAATTCAAGGTCTGAAATGAGTTTTATTAAAAATTCCACTTTGAATTCTTAAAGTAGTGATTTGCATACTTTCTAATCTTGCACTTTTACAACCTATGCCATGTGGTAAATAACACGGACAGGTGGGTCAATACTACCACTCTACTGATGTTACAATATTGGAATCATGCAAATTTCCAATCATTGGTAAACAAATTTTGGTAACCTTTATAGTTTAATAGGTTACCATAGTAATGATACAACCTGTTGAAAATGCCCCTAGATTTAGCTTTAAGTGCTTATAATATAAAAACTACCAGCCATAGGTGAGACCCAGTGTTTAACTTTTTTAATTGTGAGATAAGCATGTTAAGATACAACTTCTTTAAAAATAATTCTGTGGGTAGGGTTCATTTGAGCCACTGTAAATTTGCGAGCATTTGAAATGGCTCTGAATCCTACTGGCAGAAAAACTGTATCTTTAGTTCTGGTACTATGATCAAATTTTTACCCCTTGATTTTTTATGTGTATCACATAGAGTTCAATGAAAGAATAAAAACGCCGTTTACCGTTTTCAAATATCTGCATTAGCTCCCGAGATATTTAAGTGGGAAAAATGTGTAAAATATGCAAATGAGATGACTGATGACATTATACATTCAACCCAATATTACATTACGTATATAAATAGGGCTATCTCGGTCAATTTACAGCATTGAAACTTGGTAGGCTAATAGTTCTACAGGAAACACACCTACGGCTATAAAAAAATTCTGTTCCCATGGCAACTCACTCTTTTCCAGTCCCCACCCACTTGATTTCAATATGTTAGTGATTTTCAGCTTGAAAATATTAAGCGCGGCCAGGAGTTTGAGCTAACATATTTATATGCCTGCTGGGTCGTGCATATGAGACACCATTAGCAAATATCAAAATGGATCGCCAAAGGTGGCCAGAAAAGCCTTTAATATTGGGGAGATCTGGAACCCAGTATGTTGCCATGGTAACAAAACCGTTAAGCTCGTATTGTGGAGCACATTTAGTAGAGTCCTACTGCAGAGAATCAAACATTTCTGATAAAAATTGGCTGAGATATCTTTCTTCATCCTATTTGATCAAAATTTGGTTGAGTGTACGATGTCATCATTTGGCCAATTTGCATATTTTAAAAACTTAAATATCTCAGGAATGAAGAGACATTTGAAAATAGTAAACAGCATTTTTCTTCTCATGAAGACTACTTGTTTAGGTTTTAAAATGGCTTAGATAGGAGAGATGCGATTTTCGTCATAGTACCAGTTTAACAAGGTTTTTAGGTTGACATGATAAGTGTAATCAGAAGTATATCACCTGGTGTAATACATACTTCTCATTGATTATTCATCAAGTTAAAACAAAGAAAATCACAACCGTGGAGGAGGTTTGGGTACCCGGTCTTAATTAGCATAGATTTTGACGATTTTACTGCTCCATTTACTCCTTAGTTTTTGTTTCGATTGAGAAGATATATCAAACTCTCGAGGCAGTGTTTCATTGGCTATCCAAACACCTCGAATTTCGTCAAAAATACTCCGCTGCACATCGTATTTTCAACTGTATTCTCGTTGTTTGGATATCCTGATGAAACACTGTCTCTCGTGTTTGACACATAATTTACATGTAGGACTACATGCTGTCAATTGTTGACGGCTGCACCATAAACTTGATGATTAATTTGTTATTTTTCTTCTAGTAGGTCTTGAGCACGATGTTGGTGCACAAATCAAAATTAGCAAGAATTGGACAAAAATTTGTTTTAAAAATGTGGTAATTAGCAGGTTATTAATTTTTTTCTTTTCAAATGAGCACCATCTTGTAGCGATTTTCACGTAGTTTCCTGACATCTTAGCCACGTCTCAAAAGCGCTTGTGCCTTTCCTGTAAGGTGTCAAAATCACACATACTCTCCATTCTAAACTTCACAAGTAGCGTGAACACATCGGGCCGTATTTTACGCTACTCTTATCGCACTCATTGCGGGGCGATTTGCCATTTTTGCCTTTTTGGCAAATTTTGCTTTTTGCTAAAATCACTCATGTTACTCCTTTTGGTGGTTTTTGCTTTTGCCTTTCGCACCAGCAAAAAAATTGTGCCCTTTTGGCTTTTTGCGTATTTTGCGTTTATTCCAAGTCCAGCAAACTGAGTTGGTTCAATTCTGAATGTGAGCTTGCTTGACCATATTACACATTTCGCAAGGCAAAGCATTGCAAATTATTGTTAAACGAGCTCTTTCGAATCACAAAAATGGAAAAAAGCGTTCTCCAGAACACAAACTATAAGAGAACACGTTCTTCAGAACACATGCTAGTAAGTTACGCTATCAGAGTGCTTACCAAGGATTTGGAAACGATGTAACTTTAAATACACGTTCATCCAATTTTTGTCCAGCCCGGCAATCTTGAGAAAATGGGGCTGAAATGTAAACAAATGTGCGATGCAGGAGGTGTGAGTGGCAAAACGGAAAATTCGCACAAAAGGCAAAGAAGGAAAAATGTGCTCACAACGTGCAAACAAAGGCGTGATAAAATGACAAAGTTTTGAAATTAAAAATGTGGTCAGGCGCTTGTTTTTTAATCATATTTTTTTGACAAATACAACCACAAATGAAAGAGTCCCACCATTTTAAAGCAAAATTTAGGTGCACTTTGGAGACACCTTCTTGAATTGAATTGTTTACACTAAGAAGTCAAAAATTATCATAATGCACTTTACGTTTGAGTCAAAAAATGGGGGGAAAACGGTACTTTTTGCCTGGCCTGTTTTCAGAATTTTGTTGTTGTTCTTCTAATAAATCTCTTTCAGAGAGAAAATATTGCTTGTTGGGGTGCACATAGATGGAAGTTTAATTCTGCAAAGTTTTACGACCACTGGCTGTAAGAATGACGAGAAATAATAAGAAATCTAGCACGAGACTGTTTTTGTTATGCAATTGTACACCAACATCGTGCATGAAGCCAGTAATGAGCAATCAAAGAGTAATTCATCGGCCTCCTTCCCACATTCTTTGATAAATAATCAAAGTCTATTGTATCTACAGCCAACACTCATATGCATTCACATCTCGTAATTTCAGGTGTGTCATACACATCAGAGTGTACACCATGTGAAGCAGGATTTTATAATGATGAAGAGGCCCAAGGAAGGTAACTGCTCTACAGTTGATGTGGAACAGAGAAACTACAGTGAAACCTCTATTAAGCGGACGTGCTCGGGATCTTCCCAAGTGTCCTCATAATAGAGGGTGTCCTCTTAATAAATGTTTATAACAATTGTGCAATGTTTGTTAACAATTAACATTCAATGCTCCCTCTGTACTGTAATAAAGTTCCAGGTTGTTAACAAAGCTATCCAGAGTTCAAGTTAATCAGCTTTCATTACCAACTTTAATTTGTTTGTAATAATGCCCTTTCAATACAGCAACGATAATACAGGTACATTTAATCAACTATTTAATCCACTATTTCAAGGCCGTAATCCAATGCCACATTTTTAATTCAGTTTGGTGTCCGCTTAATAGAGGTTTTCAACAATAGAAATTAGCCAAAGACAATATATTTTAGTGTCCTCGTCCGCTTAATAGAGGTGTCCGCTGAATAGGGATACATTATAAACTAGGGAAATATAAGACATTAATTTTGGGACCAGGCTAAGTGTCCGCTTGATAGAGGGTGTCCGCGTAATTGGGGGTCCGCTTAATAGAGGTTTCACTGTAGTTGTCTCTCGTTAAGGACGTAATTCAGCTGTTATTTTTTATTTAAGTTTTCAGTTACATCAGATTCTCTCAGAAATGCAAATTTTCCAGTTTTTCTTTCTTGTAATCACTGGCTAGGAAAATTTGTAGTCTATCCTTCAAAAAATTCAGAATGGCTTTCTCTTTTAGTTTCAAAGATACAGAGGATAAACAATTTTGAATTTGTAGTTAGCGCGGACAGATGAGTGTTGACAAATTTCTGTCATCGCCAAGAAATTCACCCTCAATCGTCAAATGAACATTATTGCTCATTAGTTACAACCGGACGTAGGAGGCGTGGTGGCCTCATGATTAGTGTGCTTGTCTCCGGATCAAGCGGTCCGGGTTCGAGCCCTGGCCGGGGACATTGTGTTGTGTTCTTGGGCAAGACACTTAACTCTCACAGTGCCTCTCTCCACCCAGGTGTATAAATGGGTASCGGCGAACTTAATGCTGYGGGTAACRCTGCGATGGACTAYCATCCCATCCAGGGGGGAGTAGAAATACTCCTAGTTGCTTCATGCTACAGAAACCGGGATAAGCTCCGGCCTGATGGGCCACTTGGCTCGCATGCAGACTTTACCTTTTTTTTTTACCAATTACAACCGGAGTTGCTACCTTTCACATGACTGCTCTTCAATTCTCCAGTTCCCTAAAGATATCCATAGTTTTTATTCATATTCATTTGATTATTTTTTGGGGAGTGGTAACCAAAGGTGGAAATAAAGATGAGATAAGGATTTTCTTTTACCACAAAGTTATTTGTTTTTTGTCTTTGCAGCTGTAAAATGTGCCCAGTTAATACCTTTTCAGCTCCCCATGCCACTGAGTGTTCAAAGTGTAATGAGGTCACAGAATATGCTGGTATGTTATTTATTATTGCTTGCTGTTTTAGTGACATAAAACAATTTAGATCTGTACATGTATTTCTATCATGGTTTGTTGGCTGAACATCAGTAAACCATGATATTGTACATGTAGTTGAGCATTGATGTGTAGGAAAAGCTGTACCGTATTCCTGAAACTTAACACACTATTTACTGGAGTCTACTTCTGGGCTATGGACCTTTCACTTATAGAGCAGTAACAGCATTGAACTCTTTGCCAGAGGAGTTAAGGAATTGTAAAACTGTAGTCAATTTTAAAGTAAAATTCCAGGCCCTAGTCATTGATAAGTTTTTAACTACAAGAAGACACATTTCTATTTTTAAACCCTAGAATCATATCAGAAGTTATAACAGTCACAACTAGTTTTTTTTTAACAGTTAAGGTTATACAAGGTACTAGTTAAATGTGCGGTTCCAAGAAATATCCATACTCACCCCACAGAAGGGATTGGAATTTCCTGGGGGGGNGGGCTCTCTAAAACCAAAACAATTAAATTAAAAATTGTGTTAATTTGTATTACTAAGGTGACAAACTTTTGAATACAGTTGAACCTCCAGTTGCGACCACCTCTCCTCAGTGATCAGTTTTCCAAAATACCAAATCTCTATATTTGGAACCTGTTGAAAGAAACCACCTCTCGCAAGCAACCATGACCACTTTTAGAGCTAAAAGTTTGAAATTTTCTCTTGTTTTTAACCTGACCTTTTTAAGTGACCACCTGACCGATAATAGAGTGGAAATTGGATAATATAATAGCATTACAGCATTTCTGAGTAGCACAAAAATTTCTCAACGGAAGTGCCATATTTTTTCTTGAAATTGACTTTTCATATAAATAAAACATTTAAAACATGGGTAAGTTTCTACAAATATAACATGCCAGTGAGGCAAAATTTTGACCCAATATGGTCTAAGCTCTTGTAAGCGACCACCTCCCGTAAGCAAACACCTAGGCTTGACATTTTGGGTGGTGGTTTACGGGAAATTCAACTGCTATTTATTAGAGCAAACTGTTTTAAAGTGTAAAATGGCACAATGAATTCCCTGTAAATTTTACTCTGTTAGAAAGTTGATTCATTTTGTTGTCTTGCTGACCAGGTCGTGGGGCAACAAACTGTACCTTGAGGAAACCATGTACAGAACAAGACTACTATGACATTCGCACAGCTTGTGACAGTGACCATAAGGTATGAGTGCTCATGAAATCAATGCCATCTCTTAAAAGCTTCTGTTTCCTTACTGGCTCTTGAATCAAATTAATTGAATAAGTTGTATTAATTGCCCTTAAGTAAAATAATAAACATGCTATTCTTGTACAGGGTTTGTTTAATTTCCTTCTTGTAGTACACTGTAATCATGTTGCCTGGCTCCTCTCTCAAGTTAGTTTCTCAGGTTGTCCTTTGGCCAGTTGGTGCAATGGTGTACCTTTTCTATATTGGTAATATATAGATTTAGCCAAGCCTAAAAGCAGAGCTCCTGGGCCGGGCTGTTCAAAGCCCAACTAAGCTAACCCATGATGAGCTAGAATTTTGATTTGAGTTTTGTAACTTTATGGTGAGGTTTTCTGTATAGTGTTTGGCCTTCTGTTTTGAGTTTGAATAATCTCAAAATACACAAAACAAAAGTGGTGAAAAAATTTGTATACAACAAAAATTTCAACCTCAGTTAACTTTTAATCCTGGGTTAGTGTTAACGGGCTTCCGAACAACTCGGCCCTGTTTACAACAAGTTACCGTAAAATATCCCTTGTCAATATGTCAAATGATGGAAGAATCTGCTACATGTACCTTGACATCTTTCCAATCATGCTGAATCATGGTTTAAAAAAAAAAACATTTTGATCAGTTCCTGTTTAGTTGTAATGGGCTGCATACTCGAGAACACTACTTTCTTATACATGCCAGCCCATTCACTGTTAATACATGTACATAAAATGCATCTAAAGCTACCTGAAAAAGTTTGTTTTTACATGAAGTACTGGTTTTGCATGATTTTTAAAACCTGTCTTTTTACATCTACCTAGACCCAAGTAAAGTACATGTGGATAGAGCCAAAAATTTGCAGAGAAGATGCAGACAATGCCAAAAAACTTCCGCCATCAGGAGCCAAAAAAGACTGTCCTCCGTGTAATCCCGGGATGCATGCAAACAGCACAGGAGCATGTGATTTCTGTCCAGTTGACTACTTTAGTGATGGCAAAGCGGGTATGATATCCTGAAGACTAAAATAAATAACTTGTTGAGATATCTTATTATTTTAATACAACGTCAACTGTTTGTAACTTGGGGTGCGAAGAAAACCAAATTTTAGCCCTTCCAGTAAGCTCTAACCATGATGTGCTAGCCTAAAAGTCATTTCACAAGCCCCCCCCCAATCCCTCCTAAAATGTACCTCTTACATTGCATGTGTAATTTGAATTCCTAAGAAATTTCAGTTGCCCATTGGACAAGTGACAGACAGAATCCACTAGCCAAGAGCTATTGGACAGGACTTTCTTTGCACACTGCAGCTACTTCTATAAGCAATATATACATGTATATGGGACCAGTAAGGTGAATTTGCTTGTTGACCATTAAACTCACAGGAACCCAAGGGAACAGTAAATGTTGTCAACCACAGAAGTTACAGTGGTTTCATTATGGGCCTGTGGCCAGCCAAAACCACTGGCTAGTCAGCCATCTTTGGCTGGCTGCTCTCATGTTGTGCTGCTGTCGAAAAGTCTTAAAATGTGTAAAAAATATCATCAAAGAAACTTGTAAACATCCATCTCCCAGTTAGATTCCATGATCATGGTTTGCTTGATGTTTGTGCAAATGTCATGAAGCAGATGGGACATTCCAACCCTGTATAGTTTCCAGTCTTTCGTGTTATCTACTAAAACTTGGTGTCTTCACAGTAGCTAACTAAAGGTTTTTCTGAGGTGGGGCATGCATGGTTGGGGAGTTGGGTACCATGGCTGCGCACTATTTCTTTTCAGCCTTCTACTTAAGAATGTAGTCGCAGCTCTGAGTTAGGTTTCAGTTACACTTAGTACGTGGCTTCTGTGACATGAAGTGGTAAGGAGTATTGCATCTCCCCTGGACAGAATGTTAGTACATGGCTGGTAACTTCTCTTCTCCCCATCCCTAAGTACTTGGTCATGCTGTGTGAACAGTTTTTCAGAACCCTTATTAGTTTATACTCCTTGGTGTAGACAGGCAATGTTTATGTGTCTTATCAAGAACACAACAAGACAATCCTGGCCAGAGCTCAAACCCTAATCTCTAAATCTAGAGTCGAGCACACAAACCATTAAGCCACCCCAAATACAGCATAACATTGGTAACTAAATTTTCAAGCGTAGGGTACATGTAGGTCTGATCTCCACAGCCATTTATTGGTTGTTATTAAGTAGTAGAATTCAACCAGTATACCAATGCAAATGCTGTAATCTGACTGGCTGAGCCATTGTACACTATCAGCCATTAGTGTGCAGTAGCTTGGTGTGGTAGACAAAATTGCAACATTTCCTAGTTTCTTGGAAGCTTTGAAAGAGCATTTAGAAACAAATGGATAATCAAATTCCTGAGAAGACTTAAAGGAGGGTATTTGATGAGCCCTTCGGCCTCGTCAACTTTCACCTCTTAGAAATCTCCAGCTCATTATCTAATTGTTGAATAGAGTTGTCTAATACACTACTAAGAAGTAGGCATTCTCTCCATTAGAATGCAAAAAGTGCCCTGTATCCACTGACGCTGTTTATGGCTACCATTTGAGGTGGTGGCGTGACATTCCAGAATTTGTAAGTGCTTCATGCTTCTCTATGTCAGGTAAGGTACACTGGAACTTGACGTGATCTAAATATTAAAGTGTGAAAACAAACACAAAATAATGCATTCCAAGCATACAAGATTGTCGTCATCAGTTTTACCACTAGTGCCTCAAAGTAGGAAAAATAGAACCTTTCTTGTGCTCTTGTACTTTTGTGCATTTTTATGTATGTACGTCACTTCTCAAACTCATGAATAATTTGTTAAGTTTAAATGAAGGAAATCAGGACTATGGCAGTGTTTGGATATCTGATCTTAATTAGCATAGATATTAAAAAATAATAATATATACCTCTTACTAACCAAGTTCGAGGGCCATATTGTGAGTTACGGACCGAGTTTTCCCTCATTGATTTATGGCCCAAGTGCAAAGTGCGGGGGCCAAAAATCAAAGGGGAAAAAACGATTATCCGTAACTTACAGTACGGACCGAGAAAACTAGGTTAGTAAGATGTTTATTGACAGCAACACGAGTCAATTTGAACTGTTGGTAAGTGACCCTTAAGTCAGTAGCAGGTTTTAACACACAATTTTAGAAGTAAAGAAAGTTAAGAACAAGTGGCAATAAATCACGAAATATTTGGCAACAAAAATAGCTTTAAATTTTAGTGGGCCATACAGTAGAATATGGCCCGATAAATTGACCAATCACAGCATGTGTAATAACTGAGAGATTAAAATAAATTTCCTGAATAACCTTTGGTTCCATATTATGACACACTAATGACTGACGGATCAGAGTACATATTTATCAGCAGTAACAGGAACATTACAATGTAAGCTACTATCTCAACTAATGGTACAAAAGAATTAGTTAAGTTCTGTGATACAGTAGAGTATCCAAAATGGCTGACAGACATTATTCACCTGCAATTAAGAATATTTTAGAGTACAGTATTTCTCATTTATTATTAGTTATAAAATGAATGAATTTATTTATTTTTATACTCCAGACCGTGGATGTACTTCAAAACAGGGCTGGCAGCCACGTGGAAACTACCTCGACAGTGGCAACAACCAAGCGGACGACGTCTATATGACATTGAAACTTCCAATCAAAGGTTTTGGAAGTTCTGAAGGCCTTGCCAATCCAGGACCAGGCCAGTATGGTATTGTGGAGTTTGTGTTTGAGATGATCTGCCAAGGAGAGTGTACCCTTAAGTTTAAAGAGGTAAATTTAATCAATCAACCATACTCAATACACTCTTATTACTCTTTGTTCTTCTTATAACTCAATATTACTCTTTGTGCTGCAACGATTCACCAACGCAGCAATGCATCCCAGTATTTTTCATCATGATCAATACATATATGTTATTTACCGACTGGGAGGTCCATATAGTGAAAAGCTGTGACCAAGGTCTTGAAATTGCTGCCTGAGGCAGCGTTTTCAAGCCTGAGGTCACAGTTTTTCACTATACGGACGGACCCTAAGCCGGCAAATAACATGTTTATTTTTTTTCCTGCAGTAAATTAGTTTTACAGATTACAAATGGGTTTGTTTACGCAACTTTGTCATTGAATCGGCTTCCATGCCGTCTACTAACGATTTGTAAAAAATTCTTAGCAACGAGCGAGTAACTCAGATAGTAAACAAAGAAAGAGGTATTAAAGAACAGATTTTTTTTGAATAACTTTATGTTAGTTGCATTTATTTCACCAGTTAAGTGTTGCTACAAAAAGAATTTCTGTCAGTTGTTGCTTTTAAAATCACTTGAAATCAGACATTTCTATTGTAAATTGAATAGCAGAAAGTGAGGAAATTTGTTAAGGGTATTCCACAGAAATTCTCCTAACTACAGCAATGATCAGAGAGGTAAACTTGACTGAAATTGACTCAAATTTTACGGCGAGAGAAACACAGGATTACGCGCCATTTCAGCGCCTAGCTACAAACAACCAAGCAAACTCTCACAACTTCAAAACACTCAATTGAATTTACTTACAGTGACTTTCCTTGCCATTTTAAAGTGAACAGAGAAAAACTTGCGTTGACTAATCGTCGATGGTTGTGTAAAAAAGGCAAAAGATTGACGATTACCGCTAACTTTTAGGAATGAAATTTAGGCAGCAGGGAAAAAATCCGGCCCGTGGGCTGTATGGTAAAAAGTTGGACTGGTCACGTGCGTATGATTGGCCAATCAAATTTGAGGATTTAGGATTCTGACCTGCTCACATGCTTGAGAAAAAAATAATAGTTAATATTAAAATGAAGCCCGGGGTGCTTGGGTACCACAGGCTATTAACTTTTGCCTGTGGGTGACTGGAAAAACAGACTTTTTTCATCTAAGTGCTGGACACCCAGGATCTCACGATTAGGAACCTTTCAGTTTGGGCTTGTAATTTTTCTTAGACCATAGCCTTGTAGCCATTTACTGCCTCGCCAAAGCTAAGATATGGGTGGCAAGATTTGGTCTAGTTTGCACAACAGAGATGTGCTAAATTAGTACAAATCACCATTGGGTGGTTAAAAAACTACAGAAAGACGCTTAAAACCTAAATTAATGTGCATATATAGGCAAGGGAGACCCTTAGGGACTTAAAAGTCCCTAGGGGTTACCTAATCCCTAAGTTAAAACTGGGGGATAGGCGCCTTGCAGGATCCGGTCACATGGTACGGAATTAATTACGCTGGGACGCAAGTTACGCAGTGGGACTTCCAAAACAAAGGAACTCGTACCAGTCCAGCCRGACTTTCCTTTGTTTTGGAAGTCCCACTGTGTAACTTGCGTCCCAGCGTAATTAATTCAGTACCATGTGACCGGATCCTGCAAAGGGCCTATTAGGTTCATAAGATAAGACTGTGTGTACATGTACATGTAGGCAAGTTTTGTGGGCACTTTGCAGTGAGAATAGTTGATTAAGTTAATATCACAATTTTATGATTCAGTAAAATAATGGTGATGAATGGAAAATAGTGTTTTAGCTAGTGTGTAGAGGTACATGCCAGTAATTATTGTATCCTTGGAGAATGTATTGTTGTAGCCCTAGTCTTGTTTAACTTTTGAAAATTATCATTTTAAAACCTGACTGTGAAATTATCATTAACTTTTACATGCATAAATTTTTCAGAGGCCCCGTTTCAAAGGAACAAGTTTGATTGAGACATGGACAGGAAATAATGGGAAACAGAAATACAGGTGAGTAAAGAAGCTATATCATAGAGGAGACTTTTGAAAAAATGGACCAATGTTTTCCAGTTTGTCAGTGAAGGCAAAATGCACCCATTAATCATTATATTTTATGTCAGAGCATTTTTTTCTTGATGAAACTGTCCTAAAATTATCTTATTTTACAATGAGTCCTGAGTAAGTGGTACTTGGGAAGGATTTCTCAGAAGTGCTCAGTGTGACTGCCTTGTCTTGGTATAGCTCCCCACTGGTTGATATGGAAAGGCACAGTGGCCTGTTGGAGAGCATGCTGGACTCCAGATTGAATGGTCTGGGTTCAAGTATTAGCCATGGTCACCATGTCACGTTCTTGGGCAAGGCATTTTACTCTCAGAGTACCTCTCTCCACCCAGGTGTTTAATGAGTGTCAGTGAGTTTAGTGCTAGGGTAACCCTGCGTGGAATGCATGTAGCATTCCATCTGGACGTGACTAGTAGTAAAGGAAGCCTGGAAAAGTTCTGGCAATATAAGACACTTTGTCACTGTTCTACTCGTGCTTTCAATCTGAGTACACCCTTGTCAGGGCTGTCATTAAGTTTTGAGTCACCTGTACCCTTGTTCTCCACAGCCGTAGCAAACTTGTTACTTTGTGGGTGAATTATATCAACAAAAGGCAATTTTACCCCCGCCCCCCCCCCCTCCCCACCCGTAGCATCAAGGGAAAATCAAGCATACTCAGCTGTAACAGGTGTTATGGGTTATGGCCCCTAATGACAGCCCTGCTTGAACTATAATGAGGTGACTCTGAGGAGATGGTGCTTGGACTTTTGTTGGGGAGTTGGGCATGTTGATCCTTTTCTTTCTATGTGTGTACTTCTTTAATACTTGTGCCTTGTTACAGTAATATAATTATGACTCAGTTTTCATGCCAAACGGAAATCATAGTAATATGGTGCATTATACTTGAATTGCTCTGAAAACCTTCATTATCTATCTTCCAAAAGTTGAATAGAATTAAATGAGGATAGTTCCAGGATTCAGGAGTAATTCATTGGTTTATTGCATCAGCTCTGTTTAATATGAATATGAATATGAAGCATATGAAGCAGAGCTGTTTATGGCAATAATGCAATGAATCACTCCTGAATAATAATAATAATAATAATAATAATAATAATAATAATAATAATAACAATAATTCTAATAATTGAAAAAGTTGAGTGGTCTCTGAAAACAGTTCTACACAAGTTCATTGTGAGTAGAATTATGTGAAGATTTATAACTTTTTTTTGTTGTTGTTTTGTTTTCAGTTACATCATTTCATCTCAGAAGAGCACAGAATTTATCTGGATATTCCAAAAAGAAACTTCATTTTATTTTGAGGATAATGGACTGTCACAGAGTTACGTTGATGACCGGTATGTTAATACATTGCCACTCTGTGGGGTTCAACTTGACTTCCTATGGCATTCATATAGGGCCAGCATTGATTCTTTAAAGGCCAAGGAAGTATCCATATTGGGTCAGCATGGCATCTAGATAGGGCCATTGCAGCATCAACATGCAGTAAACATTGCATGTCCACAAGTGTTAAATTTGCAAAGACTTGCAGAGTGGTTTTCAATTGAATGTTGTAAAGCAAAAACCAGTTACAATACCAGTCACAATACCAGTTACAATACCATTTAGACTACTCAGCCAATCTCAAACTGTAGTAAAACTTAAACCAAAACCAAAGTAATTCCTTGATTACTTTTGGCACTCAGTTGAAAACTGCTCTATGCTCTCTGTGTCATTGACTGCCATGTACTTGTATACATCTGTCATAGTTGCAAGTTAGATGTGTATCATCTGAAATTCTCACCTTTTGACCTGTTTCTTTACCACTTTGCATGACTCTATTCTACAAAAGTTGTCATCAACTACCATGTACTAACTTGTAAACATCTGTCATTGTTGCAACTTTAAAGTGTATCATCCAAGGTGCTTACTTTTTGACCTGTCTCTTTTCAAACTTGCCACAATAACTACTGACATCTTGTTAAAGTGCGTATCACAGAATTTTTTAATTTTCTTGTTAGATTCCACATCAGCTTCTGATGTGAAAAGCGAAAACATTTTTCCCGTAGCGATTTTCCTTCACCATGTTTTAGCCGTTTGAAAATGTGAAATATTACTTCCGGTTGGGTCAAAAACCACGTCAAGAGAGAAACCGGGGATACACTGTAGTTGGGTTGTTACGTGTCATCTGGAACACATCGACAACTAAACCAAAGAAAAGTGAGAGATTCTAGGAACGATATTTGTCGACAACCGTTCAGTTTTCCAAGAAATGAGGTTTGCTTCTTTCCTTTGAAAGTTCTAAATTAGAGACAGAAACAGTGATGAGGGTGGTCTGATACAAATGATCACCCTTCTGTTCATTTGCTTAAATGTTTGATTTTGTTTGTTTTCTCTCTGTTGTGATCCAGGGTGAAGATCTACTCCATTACTGTGAACAACACCTTCGGAGGAGGTGCAGATCACTGTCGTGAGTGCCCAGTCTCATCAGGAAATGGGTATGTATGATTGTATGTACATGTATACACATTACCAAAAGAATGTTACTTATAGGCGAATCTTTGCTGACGTCATTGTCTACATTTTCCCTCATTAAAATACGACTTTTTGGGTAGAAGTCATCGAGCTAGACACGAATTGACTATAAACATTTAAAGAGCTTGTCAAACGTAGTAATTGGTGAAAGTTTTGGCTCTTTTTGTGTAGTATTTTAGCAGAAATTGGCTTTTACAAACTGCAAAATAACTGGATGGCAAAAGCGCTGATGAGCTCATGCATTCTTTGTAAAATTTTGTTCTTTTAGACCCATGTCGCCCAAAAGGTATTCAATACATTGGGCTCAGATTCCTTAGGACAGTTAATCGTGCTGTGCCCTCTCAATATTCAGAATTAATGTTTTTATACATGTAGCTCCATCAGAAACTGTATCGCTTATGCTAATGAGACGAATAATGTAAACAAAGATTCTTTTATTTAGCTAGGAGATAGCTATTTTAGGCTGGCTTTTACAAACCAAATATTAAGTACAAGTATTTATTCATGTCCTCACTCAATTTAAACATAAACATACGTAATTAGAGCAGTTTTCAATGGAGTGTTGTCAAAGCAAAGGCAAAATCAAACCAATTACTTACCATTTTGGCTACTCCTGAAGTTAATCTCAAACTGTAGTAAAACCAAAACCGAAGTTATTGCCTGATTTCTTTCAACATTCAGTTGAAAAAGATAAGTTGACAGGTGAGTTTTACAATTGACAGCTTTATTTTAAGCTTGCTTATGCTGGTGCTTAAGTGTTAGGCATATTTTTAGGCATGTGTACATGTATAATAGGCATGCTTTTGTTGGTAGCAGGAGCCAGTCTTTTAAAGTGTGAGGCAGAGAATCTATCCAGTTTTGGTCTAGGTAACCAAATCGACAGACCCTAAGCAAACTGTTTACAAGCGCAAATACTGCTGCTCTGGCCACTGAGTGACTGTTATTGATATATTGAATGTTACTGTCGAGGGACGTCACAATTGGTTAGCTTTCATTAAAGTTCATTTTGTCGATATTTGTTTTTTCAGTATTGCTAATAATTAGTTGGTTGCTTTTCTATTTGCAGATGCATCAGTTGCCCCAAGGGTAATTACGTGGACACAAAGAATCACAAGTGTGTGCCATGCCCCAAAGGTGATTGTTATGTTTTTATTTTATGGTACTTGGTCTTAATTGTCTCATTTACAGTTCATCACTTTAGGCATCTTACTGTACCCAAATTCTCAATCAGCCAAACTTATGAAGTCACTGACCTGATATGGCTACACAGACACTTGGCTGAAATTGGGTTTGGTAAATACCTAATAGTACCTTTTCTAGTGTGCTTAGGCTGCACATTAGGTTTGTTTGATCTCGTGATTGGTATTTTGTTTTGACTAAGTATCACCAAGATATGAAACATGTCTCTACAAAACTAGCCTGATATGCTGCCAAAACATCCTAAAAAGGTATGATTACCGGTAGGTGTAAATAGCAGACCTTCAGTTCAGTGAACAAAGATTGCAATATTGTATTCAAAATTTGTTAATGGCATTGTGAAAATTTACATTGTATTTTCAAGCATCATAAGTTTTGAAGAATGCCAAGCTAACTGGATGAGAAATTTATCTTCTTCTCATCCATGCCATGGTACTTGGAGCTTGCTGCACCCAGATGCCCTCGGGCAAATTTTGATCCCATATAGCTCTCCTACTTTGTCAGTTGTTGTAATGCATATGTATCTCGGTCAGTGTTGTAAAGAGATGCACTTCTGTCTTCAACAGACACTTACCTGAATACCAGTAACCCGTATGGGGCAGATTCCTGCATCCCATGTGGTCCAGGACTCAAAAGGTAACAATTTACGGTTTGTTTCATTTGAACCTCGTTATAACATGGCCCAACGCACGCAAGCTTTTATAGCTCAGTTCTAGAGCATGGTATCTGTGCGTGGAAGGCTGTAGATTTGTTTGCAGTTGAGACCACAGATTTACTGATTGATTGATCACCAATTGATAAAAGTATTTCTGAATTTTCCAGTCAATTCTTCCAATAATGAATTCATTAATGGAAAGGTTTTTTTCGTTGTTTATTATTTTTGTTGTATTTAGTTAACGCTGAGTATCTTTGCGTTATTTCAGTGAAAAAGGATCAACTCTGTGTCATTCAACGTGCCATTTTTTCTCAGCAAAGCACAGGCGAATGTTCAATCTCACTGATCTACAGGGGTAAGAACTACCATATTACATGCTGTCTTGATGAAAAGTTGAATTCTCTTTACCATTGTAGAACATTTCTTTAATAGTACTTTAAGAATTTCAAGGCACATCGAGGCAACTAAGCCTCTTTTAGGTTTCACCCGTGCTGTCCCAGAGCTTGTTAATAAGTTTATCTTCTATTTCATACGAAGCATTCATCTAACTTGTATTTTGTTGGTTGGAACCCGTGAAATAACGTAAAATCCGAAAACTATTAACATATTATCTCTGCAGTATTATCTCTAATCTTTCAAAGAGTAATAGTGAAAAGTGATGGTGAGAAATTGTACTTGTGTGATTGTTAAATCCCTTGTGGGCATATTTGAATCTTGTGCGTTGAGGTAATTTTACACAAGAATTGTAGAAGCCTGTTAGAATGTGTATTTTTCGACGAAAGATTAAAATAAATGAACGAGCGAGGGAATAATAAGCACTTAATGACTGGCCGCAACGGAAACAGTGAGTTTTATTTCCCCGAGACCCTCAATGACATTGAGGGTCGAAGGGAAACAAAACTCACTGTTTCCCGAGGGGCCAGTCATTAAGTGTTTTGTTAAAAAAAACTGCGAAAAACTGATTTGTACGAGCGGCAGTCAAGCAGAGCTGTCCTACTGAAACGACACGATAACAGTCTTTTTCTTTGCAGCCAACAAAAATAAAGACAATACTTAACTTTGCCTTATTCTAATGCTTAACTCGAGAATTCTGGCTTTGATTTGACGAGGAACAGCATATTTTGTTGTAAATGACGCAACTATATTCCTACCTGGCGAGTGGCGACAGCGATCGAAGAGCGAGTTGCCGAACGCGCCCGACCCATTTTTGACATTTTTGGCGCCAAATTAAAAGCTTGAAGACACAATGTTCAAATTTCCCCTTTGTTAATCTGATATGTTTTTTCCCAATTATAAATCCCTTTTCTTGAATAATGAATGCCTTCTCTAGTGAGAAACGTTGCCCGACTTCAGTGGCTTTTTGACATCAGGCCGACTGGCACACAAATTTGCCGCTGTTTCAAGGTGCACGACCTGATCGCGTGCGAGTCGAAAGTTCAAGTTGTTGTTTTCCTAGGGAGTTAGTGAGTTTTGTTCGCCCTAGGGAGTTAGTGAGGTTTGACCCACGGCACGTGACACGTTCTCCAATCGGAAAACGTGTTTGAGTTAGGGGGTATAACAATGCCTCCTGTCTTCAATTACATGTTTTTCTCACAACAAATCTTATATGTCGTTTTATCTTTCTTACAATCTTTGTCATGTGATTTACACAGTGTAGTCAACCTTAGGGCTTGTCTACAACAGGAACCTCGAACGCACAGTGAATTGTAGCTAATCACTTTTCGTCTTTCTGTAGGACTCACAGTGTTGCCAGTGCTCCGTCATTTACCAGTCGTGGTTTCCGCTACTATCACCTCTTCAACTTGAGTCTCTGTGGTCATCCATACCAGCTAGCAAAGTGCCACAGCAATATCAGTCTTAGTTCTGGGAAATCAGTGAGTATGATTGGTTGATTGCACAGTTCACCATGTTACACGATTGGCTTAAAAAACTCACGCCACTTTTTCATCCAATCACATGTAGAACTAAAACTAACCGTGACTCGTTCGCACGCTTTTTCCCGCGCTTCGCATAATTACTTCGAGCTCTGATTGGTTCATTGTATTGTCTGCGTGCTCTCTGATTGGCCAGGGTGATTACTTTGGTTTTGGTTTCACGACACTCAATTGAAAAGCGCTCTATCTAGCATCTTCCAGGAGTTTGGTTTGAAAAAACGGCGATGTGGACGCATGGTGGTATAATAGATAGCACGATAGGCTCGGAGCGAGGGGTCCGGGAACGAGCCCTGGTCGTGGTCGTTGTAATGTGTCCCGGGACAAGACACTGGCAAGGGACGAAAATAGGAAAGGAGTGTGACGTGGGAGAGCACCATAAGCCCTTCTCCTATTTTTTCTCTCGCCTCTTTTCGCGTTTCTCTTCAACTCGAGGAACGCCTGGAACAGCCTACTGTATAGCAAATCGCAGATACCCTGGGGTAGCTGTTAACTGTATGGAAATGTTCCTTGTAAACGGCCACTGACAGTACAAAGTATAGGTAGCCATTTACATGTAGAACAGAAAGTACTGCCAGATTTAGTGAATGTCTGTTTGATTGTCTTGTCCAATGTTGATTGGGACTAAAAACCGTTCTGTGTTCTAGCTTTGGCCCGTAGTGATTTGTGGCGTTCGTTACAGTACTTACATTTAGTAGAAGATGTGATCATACTATGAAGTTCTTTTATTAAAGCGGGAATAACGTTAAAGGGAGTTTTCTCGGCGGTGTCCGTTTATAGGAACTTAGACACAAAAGGGAATGTTTCAAGTGGCCTCTCTGTGGCGGATTATAGGAACGTAAAAATATACATTGTAAAATTTCTACGAGAGTTCAAACAGAGTTATTTTTAGGTGCTCATAAGAGAAAGTTTATGTACTACACCTTGAACCAATGTTTAAACCTGAAGTTAAATAAGTGGGCGGGGAAAATTTTGAGGGCATTTGACAGTCTTGCCTGTCTTCAATCTTGCGATATGTGTACATCTGCTTGACACAGCACCTTTAATTTAACGATATTTTTTGACAGGAATACTACAATCTGACGTCACCTGTTTGTCGTATGACTGTCGTACCCGGTCCTCCTCAACTTGTCACCACTCAGACAATCAGGTTAGTCGAATACTTAGTTTTGTTTTATCCTGAACAAATCGCTAAGCGAAACCAAACATCCAGAAGCTTGTGCGGTTTCATTGCCCCCAATCTTGTTTAGAATTTAATCCACTTCCTTCCTAACTTCTGCTTTAATAATTTAGGGAAGACAGAGTTGCCATTATTAGGGGAAAACTTCTTCCTAGATATGATTTGTTTTTATATCAAAGCGAAGTCCAACCAGCCCAAAATTCCAGGGTGGCTCTTTTCAACTAGATTGACTCAACGTGCAAACATTCAGTGACTTTCGAGGACATAAAAAATGACCCAAGAACGGCCATTGTTCATTTTTGCCTAGAGCCCTTCAACCGTTTAACCAGCCTTGAAGTAGATACTTATAAGTAGTTTTTTTGAAAAACATTTCAGAATAAAAACTAGCGGTAAAAAACGACGTTTCGATCTCTCTGAGATCATTTTCAAGTTGAAGAAAAAACGAATGAAATATACATATATAAGTACAAATTAGGGCGTGAGAATGTCAAACGATAAAATATGTAAATACAAGCGCTAAAATGTAAGAGTTAAATTAATAAACTACTATAAAAAAAACCTATATGAATAACTTTGCACGGATTGAATCTGACTGTTTGTTCAAGGTTGGCTGATCTACGAAATGCTCTTTATAAAGGAGCTGAAGCCAACCTTGAACAAACAAATGGAAGAAGATAGTTCAAATTTTAAAACTGGTGACCCAATTATTTTTGGTTATCCAATTTCATCTGTGCCCTAGTTTAGTTCCATTTCCTCAGGAAAAAGTAAATTATAACTTTGGAATAGGCCATTTTGGTATTCTCGGTATTAGACTGGCACTAGCTTGCAGTCGAGGCTCATGCGGGGAGATACCATTAAAAAGACATTAATGTTATTTGTATTTGAAAACTCCCTGCATTAGCCTCAGTTGCAAGCTAGTTCCAGTCCAATACCATGAATACAAATATGGTCTATAAAGGTTAACAAAGGTTAAAGGTTAAAAAAACTGTTGTTATCTTTCAGCCTTGCTGATCGTCTTGTGGGTATTTACGAGGATATCGGTGACAACTCCACCAATGAAACATCAGTGTTTGCTGAAAAAGGAGGTATTACACTAGTTATTTTTAGTCTTTTTTTTCACAGATTCTGAGGCCAGAAAAAAGGCATAACAGGCTAATTACATAGCCTAACTTCCCCGTATTCATTGTTTTCATTCAATGCTTTGTTAACATCGCAGGTGCAGTGACAAACACCTCGACCTTTTTCCTATTCAAGTTCCACAGCGGCACGTAAGGCATTCTTCTCTCTCTCTCTCTCTTTTTTTACTTCATTTAGTAAATTAATTTTAAAAAATACTTTCCTCTGTGTTGCTTTGTTGTAAAACATTCAAGATAGAGACTTGTGCGTATTTAAATGAATAGGCCCTTTGCAGCTAAGCCATAACTTGACCTACTTTTCATAAAATTATGGGCTATAACTTAACAAATGCCAGAAATGGAACAAGCATGTCGAAAATATCAAAATGGCCAAGTTTGAGGCCCCCCATCATTAAAGAAGGAGATTTTATGACGGTCCGAATTTTTAAAAGAATGAGAAGATTTGTATGGAAAAAGTTGCTGGAGAGCAAGGTCTTGCTCTCCAGCAACATTTTACATACAAATCCATTAAATTTTCCGAAAATTCCAACTGTCGTATAAACTTACTCTTTAATTCCAGGGGCCTCAAACTTGGCCATTTTGGTGTTTTTGATGCGCTCTTTCCATTTCTGGCATTCTTTAAGTTATAGCCCATAGTATAAAGATTTTCTAGGAAAAATTTAGTCACGTGACCCCAGCTGCAAAGGGCCTATTGAAAGTTAGAAAGATGTAAATTCTGTTGTAATGAAGACGGGAGAGAAAGAAAAAAATCTGAGTCCAGAGCAAGAGTCGAACGCTTAACTTTTCCAGTTGGATGCTTTAACCACTGAGTCACATGGACTCGTGGCTCGCTAGCCTTTACTACTGCTAGAACAGATGGAAAGAAATATTAGTTGTGCAACGTTTTCAAGTGGTATATCATGGAATATTCTACGAGTTACTTGTATTTTCGCGATACACACACGGGCCTTTCGGCGAGAAAACCAAGAAAATACAAGTAACTCGCGGGATATTTCACGATATACCACGAGAGAGTGTTGCATAACCAATTTATAACACAGTCAATGCAACATAAGCGTGACGCATGATGGGAAGGTTGGATGTAGTATCGTCGAATATACAACGGCTTTCCTGTATTCTGATTGGCTGTTTTTTCTATGGCATGGTATAAATGACGTTATCTATTAATCTTAGAGGGATTATAGAACAAAAAACACCGAACTGTATTGTATTTTTTGCCTTAGGACGAATTTCTCTTAAGGGCGGTGCATTCTGGACGACGTATCTACCAAAATTTTGCTCAATCGTTTTTGTTTTTCAAGTTCGACGTTCTTGATCCATCTTAATTTTACCATATCTGAATCATACGTATTTTTCTTTAATTTATTTGCCGATATCCTACCTTAGTGGACAAGTTATTTCAGGTTTCCATTGCTTTTATTTTGTTCATCCCAAAGACGAATCTGATTTTAGCTTACACATCTCTTGTTTGTCTGGTTTAGCCCCACTCAAGCTTGCCCCAATGGTCGATCAGTTTGGGCTACAGTCTTGTGCGATGTCACAGCAGGAACGGTAATTCTTTGATTAGTTTTATTTTTTCTTTCTTTCTACTGCTTTCAGTCTCCGTTGCAGCTGTTATTTGGAGTTGCAGAAGTATGGCTTTTAGGGCGCCCTATTTTTGTACCAAATGCTTTGTAATACGTAATAACAGTGCAATAACTTTGAGTGATATTGTTTTTTATAGGGTGTGCTTGATGTGCCCTCTAAGTGTCCAGATGGAACATGTGATGGTTGTCGGTAGGTTTTAGAGATACTTAAATGGCGACACGTTTTTGTGAACAACAACAACGAAAGTACTATTGAGTTCTTCATTTGAAACTTGTGATAGCTACTTGGATGCTCAGTTTCTTGTAGTTAAATGTTGTATTGTGATCTAACAACTTCTAACAAGAATTAAGTGAAAGTCACCTACAATTCGTTAGCTCTGTTTACTTGGTGCATTAAAGGTTTGCACCAACGTGGTGCTTAAGCTCACAGAGCTGTATTTTTTAAATATTCAGTGCCTAGAGCATGTGACGTTGTATCAGTTTTGCTTGTCAAAAACGTGTTAGCCACTGTTATCGTACTAGAAGGCTTTGTTGAAACGTCGCAGTGACAAAAACTAGCTCTCGTAATATTGTGGTTATGGCACAACTACCGTCGGACATCTAGACCAGGGGCCAGTTTCTCGAAAGCCCCGGAAACTTTTCGAACTCGTAAAGCCATTTTTAGTTCATCCGTATCTAAAAATGGAGAAGCGTCTATATAGGCCTGAAACTTCTTGTATGAAGAAAACCTCAGTTCATATTAAGAACAGAATATGTGAATAAAACAACTCTGTAATCATAAGGTTCGAGATTTTGCTATGGCTTTCCTGGTGTGAAAACTTTTCTGGATCTTCGAGAAACGGGCCCTAGGTCAATTAAGTTTGCTCACAACTTGGAGTACAGAAAGCTATCAGATATACCGCAATGTCTCGTCTAAGTATTTTACTGAAAACTTGTGAGTAAATCTCACTGGTGTATCTAAAGCTCTGTATGATCTGTAACGGCTCAGGCGTGATGAGGGGGAAGATTGTCAAGTTGTTTTAGTAATCGTCAGCTTTGATTTAAATCTGTTAGGTTTGAGGTCTTGTGGCGAACAAAGATTGCTTGTCCCATCTGTACAGTCTCTGATTACAAACAAGTCAAGTCCTCTTGTGAGGTGAGTTTGATTAAAATGCAATTTCTCCGTAATGGCTCCACTAAAAGTAAAACAGTATGGCAAGGAGAAAGTGGATTTCAATGTGAGCGCAATCACAGTAAACGGAGCGAGCGAGATTCTGGCATCTTTTAATGGTTTCCTTTAAATTTTTTTATGTGCATCGTTGTCCCTAAGATAGGGAACCTTAACAATGATATGCTAACAAAGGCAATGTGGATTCTAAAGGGCATGCTCGCTTAATTCCTAAAGGTGTTAAACATTAAGATAAGAACTAGCTAAGCTTTTTCCAACTGCAATTTGCGCTAACAACTCTGACGGCCAACAACTTGAGAAATTTGTTGTAATTGTCGAACTGTGATATTGGAAATTATCGAACCGTTTATTACATGACCAGAGCAGCTTACGGGACCAATGTTAAAGTAACATCGATATTTTTACTAATGATTGTGTCTCTCCCTAGAGTGGAAAAAAATCGTTAACCTACATGTGGAGACAACCAAAGTGAGTAAGCCTTCTGTATTCTTCAGTTGAAAGTGTTTTTGTTGTGAGTAGTCCCTAGGCCACTCAGTCACTCATTTGTCACATTTGGGTAATCATACACAGTAGAAAATAAGCTCGAGATGGGACCATCACTAACTGCCTACTCACAAGGGACATCGTTTTTGAAGGTTGGACCGTAGTCACTGATGCTGAACAGATAACTAGCAATTAAGTGCTGATGTCAGAGCGGTGTTCACTTCAGTGTTGAAAAGTTTTTGGTTTTGCATTCGCTACACGATTGGTGTAGAAAACTCGTGCCACTTTTTCATCCAATCAGAAGTAAAACCAAAACCAAACGTGATTCGCTCGCACTCGTTTTCCCGCGCTCGCGTCAGCTTCTTGGATTTTTTAAGTCTTGGTTGGTTCCTTGGATTGCCTGTGTCTTTTGTGATTGGCTAGAGAGATGACATTGGTTTTGGTTTTAAGGCACTTAATTGAAAACTGCTCTAAAGATCTTGTCTTGTTTTGTTGATCATTTCAGACTGTGTCGCGATGGAGTTCCCTTACCGCCTGTAAAGCACCTCAATTGCGAAATTTGGGAACAGTCAGTTGGTTCAGCCTTGAAGGATTTCAAGGTGTGAAAACTTGTCAATTTTGTCTTGTAGTGGCTTTTGAAAACTCCCTCCCGTTTTTGTAAGGTAAAGTCTGCATACAAGCCAAGTGGCCCATCAGGCTGAAGCTCTGCTATCCCAGTTTCTGTAGCATGAAGCGACTAAGAGTATTTCTACTCCCCCCTGGATGGGATGCTAGTCCATCCAGAGTTACCCCTCAGCATTAAGTTCGCGGGTACCCATTTGAAGAGTATGAGAGTGAAGTGTCTTGCCCAAGAACACAACAGTATATCCCCGGCCAGGGCTCGAACCCGGACCGCTCGATCCGGTGTCGAGCGCACTAACCATGAGGCCACCGCGCATCCCATCCCGTTGTTGTAAAACCTAGTTAAGTACGTGTAGGATTTGCATGTACAGTCACATAAAAAGTCTCAGATTCGAGCCAAGAAATTCCATGACTTTAGCGTCACTGATAGGCACAGTAGCCATTTTGACAGGTGTGCATTTAAGCGCTAGCTAGGGGTTTTGTGATGTGTTCTTGCGAGAGAGGATAAGCAGTAAGAGAGTGCATCCTCCATTTTCCCCATACAGGCTTTATTCTCAAGGTTATCCCCTCGCATGTTAGTTTTAGACATCACATGGTGCCAAGGTTTTCTGTTTTCTGCCTCTGTTTTTCTTTAGGCATAGAAAAGGAATAAATGTGATTTTGCATATTTGCTTGATCTTTTCAGATTGGGATTGCTGTGGTGGCTGCCCTGGTAGTCCTCATGATTTGCACCATGTTTGGCCTGTGGTACAAGAACAGGAAGTATGTCCTTAAAAGAACTACCGTTCAACGCCTGCAAATGGTTTTTCAAATCTTACATTCACTTTCGTAAACTTTGGTATTTTTGGAGAGCAATTTTCAACATCCTACAAAAAGGAAAGTTTTCTCAATTCTTATTAGAGTATGTTAGAGCGGGCATAACCTGTGACTTAAGCGTCCTAAAATGATTATTTCATGCTTTCTAACACGTGTCTTCCACGTGATGAGCAATGAAATCAATGAGATCAAGTGCTCAGAAATCAATTTTGTCGTTAAAAACTTTCTCTTACGTTCTCTACGTCAATAACCGCAGGCTAGGTTGATTTGAACCCATAAATTGGTGGGTTAACTACGAGAGGATGCAACTCTGTGTTTAACATTTCCATCTTAATCATTGGTAGGCTTAATTACAAGTATCATCGCTTAGTGGCAAGCAGTGATCGACCAGGTGAACTACCTCAGGTTGAGAAATGTGTGGTGGATGACGATGAAGAAGACGAGGAGGAGGTAAGAGATGTTTCTTTGCTTTCCATCTTGTGACTTAGGAACCCTTTAGTTGAATTTGCTGATTATTGAAAGATCTTGGATAGTTTTCGAACTTCTTCGCCGTCGTGACTTTCGGAAATCTTCGAAAGCTTTCGTGTGTTTGTCGGTAATCTTCGGAAGACTTCGGGAAATGTTTGGTGAAATACGAAAGTATTCGGATAGTCCTCGGTGTTACATCTCGTGAAGTTATACGATATCATTTCCCGTAGCTGGTATGAATTTTATCCACGACTTTGTTTTTTTCACGGTAATTGAGTCTATCGTGTCCTCCCACGTAGGTTCATTTCAGGGTCGGCAAGGACCGCGGAAAAAAAATTCTCAAGAAGATTAAGGACATGGCTAGTGGAGGAAAGAAGAAGGTAAGGTTCTCGTCTTTTGAATTTACAGTATTGCAGCACAGACCGTGTCTTGTGCATGTTGTACGCGACAAACATGTTCTTCACAGCTCTTGAATTTCACACAACTCTTTCTTGGGGTATCTGAAGTTTGATGTTTGCTTTAACATCGATCAGTCCAACTGAGGCGACTCCATACTTTCAACAACGTTTCAAATATGATCAAGGTGAACGCCGCTAGTATCGAAAGATCCCACTCTTGATTTTGTCAAAGATCCCACTCTTGATTTTGTCGACTATATTTTGGACCCTGCTTATCGTAAAACAGCAAATAAACATAAATTTGCAGAGAAGAATTGAACTTTCTTCCCCGAGTATTCTCCCTGTGGTTTGTTACTTCGTGCATTTCGTTCATACTAAACAGCAACTATACAGTAAAAACCTTTGTGTAAGAACCTAGTGATTTAAGAACCTGCTGGGAGAAGCTTGCCATTTTGAAACCCCAAAATATAAGAACCTGTTTGACCAAGCAAGATCAAGCAGCTTCTTATATGTGGGTTACAGTTAAATGATGAACTCTTGTTATAGAGACATCACTACATATACATTCTGTAATTGGCTGTGTTGGGCTTATCATAATAAAGTTGTGAATAAATACAGTTTGTACTGTATCTTTAGGACCAATACCAAGTTTATTTTTCTGGTAATTAACCTAATTAAGAACCTACTTAGCCAAAACTGCAGATAACTACCCCAATTTTGCCAGACTTCAAAACATGAAAACATGTAGGTTCTTCCACTTGAGTTTTTGCTGTAATATATCAACTGTTGTGCGCTCTTATACCTTGTGACTCGTGGCCGGCTTGTTCAGGCAGTAACGTGCCTTGCTGCCCGGTAAAGTCAGCTTTATTTCTGTGCAGTGTATTTAGTGTTTGTTGTATCCTAGGAGAAAGTCACGTTTGATGACGATGATGACGAGTATTTTGAGTCTGTGCATCTGGAGGCAGGCAAAGAGGCACTCACGGATGACTTCAATTGAACACCAACAAGCACAGGACTAACTGCAGTAAATTCATATTACGCTCTGATCCATTTAAACTAGAGTCTCTGTTGCGATCTTCACTGATGCTCAACTTTAACGATCATCTGTCAGCCCGCCACAGAAACATTAAACTAGCAAGTAGAAAGTGCTAAATAACAACAGAGTAATGCTGTTAATGATTAAACGAGCTTAAATTCAAGGTATTGAAGAAGATTGCAAGATTTTACTACTGTCTACCCGATGTAGCACAGATAGGTCTGTTCTTCAATAGACAAGACAGCGTGACATTCTTGGCTGTTTGGCATGACAAAATGATGCTGTCACGCTTGAGGAGTCTGTAGTAAAACCCTATAGAGGCAAGATTTTAATGCTGTCTGTCCAATTATTCATACAATATTCTCAAGATCTCGTGAAAATGCCAAAATGTTTAAAACAAAGTGGCCCTGAATTTGCAATGTTGGGACGACGTAGTTGGCAAATACCCCTCACCCCCACCCCCTACTTTGTGCATATTTGGATTCCCACCAGTAGCTGTTAGGGAACTTTTTCACGGCTTTGTTTATCCTTAGGCTGACTGTTAAATGACTATAAGCTGTTTATAGACTGGAGTGCCACATCTAAGCGAGTTTAGATAGGGTAGGGACAAACTGAAAAATTTAATTCACCCACCGCTCACCTTTCGCTTATCAAGCGTGAGTCATTATGCCCACCCGTGAGCAAGATTTTGACAATTAATTATCTTTACAGTTTTGACGTAATAGACCCTTTGCACGATCCGGTCACATGGTACGGAATTAATTTCGCTGGGACGCAAGTTACACAGTGGGACTTCCAAAACAAAGGAACTCGTGCCAGTCCAGCCCGACTTTCCATTGTTTTGAAAGTCCCACTACGTAACTTGCGTCCCAGCATAATTACTGGTTTAAGATTGCACTTGCAAGAAGGAGCACACAAATAATATAAGTGATTATATTTTCAGCACTCCCAAAGATACAATGGAAATTCATTGTATCAACCTCTTCTTTGATGCGTCCAATCATAGTTAATGGAGGGGAATGGTTATGAAACTCGGCAAAGTTCTTTTTTGTATGTTTTTGTTCTCTTTCTTGGCCTTGACCGTGCGCAAAACACAATAGTTATTTACTACTGACCGATGAACTAACTAATATAAGTGTTTTGATTGCGTAACTCATGCATAATGTATGAACGCAAAACAAAAGATTGTGCACGGTCGTGGACCTTCCAACATAAATCTTGGCATCTTTGTTTTCTCCTTTGACGTTTGCCAGGCTTCATATCCATTCCCCTCTATTAACAATGGTCCAATAGGCCATATTCGTATTCTCTGTATTGAACTGGAACTAGCTTGCAACTGAGGCCAATGCAGGGAGTTTTTTCAAATGCAAATGACTTTTGTCTCTTTTTAATGATATTCCACGCATGAGCCTCCACTGCAAGCTAGTTCCAGTCCAATACCGAGAATACGAATATGGTTTACTTAAGTGTCCTAACATAATTATTACGACCCACCACATAAGGCGGATGTTGACAGTCCATTGGTAGACGGTTACCATTCAGACATGATTTTAGTAGTGTAGTGACAAATTTATTTGCTTAGAGTGTTTCATAGATTCAGGTATGTTTTGTTATCTTTGAGGGCGATAATTCTCTCCGTACTGTATTCAATATTTATGACACCACAAAGATGTGGTCAATGTACTACTTAATTTTTAGTAGAATAGTAAAATAGATCACGGCACATAGCTCAAGTGATAGAATTGTAACACCTGCGCTGATGTGACAGCCATTTTGAATTTTAAAAACGAGGTGACCTGGTGCGAGGTCGGGAGCTGAAAAATTATTGTGGGGTCTGGGACGACCGAGAAAATTCGGAAATTTCTCCGGATTTACGATCACATGCCGATAATGTTCCTGAAGGTTACGAACTCCAGAACCGATTTTCGAATGTTACTTGCTTCCAGACCTCTCAGAAGTTGACTGCGTTTTAAAAATCTAAACATGGCGAGACGCGGGCTAGTAAATCGGATTATTGTTCGGTTTGAGAGTTCTGCAGTCAGCACTTTAAGCTACTTGATAGCATTTTTCTCATTTCTATGTCAAGGGAAAAGACGAAAAATGTAGTTTTATCATCCATAGAATAAGAATGGCATTTCTTTCACATTTAATGTAATTGTAATGTGTTGGTGTACCGCCTGTGTAACCAGCTTTGTTTTCAAGTAAAGTGTTGGATAGTGATGACACTTTGGTTTTCTGGTCTCACTTGGTTTCCCAAACAACTACTGTATCCTGCAAATGCGATATTAGGGGCCTTACGCAAAACAAGAGGGACATTACCCATATACGACGGCGACGGCGAGGACGACGCGTAGTAAAAAATGTGTTTCTATTTTACTTCGGAATTTCGCATTTATTTGAAACTATCAGGTGTGTCTGTCGGTATTAAAACTTGCCCCTGCTGAATATGCTACGAATGCGTTCAATTCCAAATAGAAATACGAAAAGTTAGCCGTTGCGATTCACGTTCTCCAGACAACGCAGAATTTGGTAATTTCCCGTCGCTGTTTTGAAGAGGACGGCAACGAAATGTACCAACAATTATAATGCACGTGCTCAGACATTGTTTCGCTCATTAAACCTTTTGTTTGGTGACGTCCTCGTTGCCGTTGCCGTTGCCGTTGCCGTTGCCGTCGTGTTTTGTGTAACGAGAACGTCATCAAACAAAAGCTTCAATGAGCAGAACAATAGCTGTGCACGTGCGTTATAATTCTTGGTACATTTCTTTGTCCTCTGCAAAACAGCAACGGGAAATCACCAATTTCCAAGTTTTTTGACAACGGGACCCACTACGTCTAATTTTAGGTATTTCTATTTGGAACTAAACAGCAGGGCCAAGTTTGAATACCGTCAAACACTGAATAGATCTACGTAAATGCGAAATTCCAAAGTAAAATATCAACCCACTTTTTAATAGGCGTCGTCCTTGCCGTCGCCGTCGCCGTCGTATATGCGTAAGGTCCGATAAACTACTTATTAACCGAAAGTGAGGTCTTTACGGGAAAATCAAAAACCGAGACCTTGCCGTATTGACCAATCATGTCCTCGTGTGAAAAAGAACCTCCGAAAAAGCAAAAGTTTACGCAACTTTAACGTAAGTGTCACAAACAGCAAATTATAAGCAAATTCTTGCCAACTGACCGTGTAGTAGATTGCGGCAATTGCAGATGTTCGTACCTTATTTTGCACAGAAAAACGTCTGTAAACACGCAACCAGTTCTTGGAACTCCTATTTTCCAAGCTCCTGTGACTTTTTGTTTGCCATAACAAAGCTTTGAATAGCCCCAGTCTTGTTTTGTTTTTCGCTCGGTATTTTTGTCTTTGGGTTCTTCAATAAAACGTCCAAGGTCGTATTCAGAAACTTGAAAAAACAAATCTCGCCGAGGCCGACATTTCATTCAGAAAAACTGTGAAGCGAGTGACACGTCAAAGTTGGCTAAATATAACGTGAAACCTTATTGGTCTAAACCATTTATATAGACAAGTTGAACATTTATATAAACAAGTGTCCATTTGACGCGAAATACGCGCAAATATCTGTCCAAGGATAACTATGGAAGCTTTTTTTCCCTTCGGGATCTTCGAAAAATTGGGGAACATCACTCGGATATTCTCCAGTTTTAGCTGGGGAATATCCAGTTACGTGACGCGTTTAGACCAATCGCGTGCAAGCAAATATATCTCATGGAGTGAATGTCGGCAAGTTCGTGCTAAAAACCTCATTGTAGAGGTCAACGAAAAGTTAGGTCCTAGAGGTGCGCGCGTGTTTTTTAAGTAGTGTATGCCCGAGTACCACTACAGGACGATGTTTTTATTAACATTTGTAATTCTACGAAGATAAAATCTCATCAAGTAGTTCAAGTAAATAAAAAAAAGCTAAGTGAATAAAAAGCTAAAACTTTTCCTCGTAAATTTTGTTTATAACATCAGAAAACCGGCTTGAAGCATGTATTTCTTCGGCGAACTTAGCTATCCTGTCGTTACATAGTTTCTAGATATTCAGCTTCATTGGGTCTTTTGATAAGAACAGATCGAGAGTTGTGTGGGTAGAGAGCGCGTGTGCAGGCCATAGACATCTTTAATTACTCCTACAATCACTGGAACTGGGCAAACTTTTCTCCCCTCAATGTGCAGGGTTCGCGCTGTTACTATTGTCAAGCTTTTTTTTAACTTAATGTGTATATATTTCTGTAAAATTGTAAATATGCGAGTCATAATAAAGTTGTTGTTGTTGTTGTTGCAGTGGAACAAGATCGCGAAGTTGCTGTTTTGAAGAGAGCTTGCGGGACAAAGTGCGCCGGTAAAATTTGAAATTTGAAGCCTTAAGAAAGATCATAATTTTACCGATGATAGGGTCACGTGACGATATATACAAGAATATCATCCAACTAGGGGTGGGGTAAAGGACTTCTACAGCGATTACAATAAACAAAAAAATTGACAAGACGATTGGTTGCAAGCAAACCTTTTATTCTTTCTCGTGTAAATGTCACCCTAAACTTTCGTAAACACAGGTTTTCATTATACGAGATTGAACTACAAGTAAAGATGAAAATTTGCTATTCGTGATTATAACAAATGTGCAGAGGAAAAAATGGAAGTTAAATGCTGCTGAAACACTTCTTGAACGTAATACTATACACTGACACGCGGCTGCGTTCCAAAAAACGCACAGCTTGACACCTGAGGGGAAGAAAGAGAGAACCATAGTATTCACTGTTTTTTTAAAATATCATACCAGCTACTGACCCAACCTTGTCACCACATTTCTTTCATTACCAGGGCCCTCTTTGTCAGTCGATTCCAAGATGAAAGCAACTTCAACGGTTACCGCCATCTTTGATTTGAAAGCTAGGCAAAACTGAAAACTAGGCTGAGCTTGACTGTAGTTGATTGTTTTTAGATCTGGACCGGCCACACCTTAACATTAAGAGATGCTGGGTTTGCAGAAGAAGTGTTCACGCTCGGTGACGTCACAAAAACGAAGCTCTAAGAAGGGAACACTTTCCAGGCCAACGAACTTCTACTTATAAACGTGTCCATTCTCTGAAATCCTTCACTTTTTAGCCAAACGTTAAAGCAGTTGCTGGAAAGTTCAGCTTTGTATGCCGCATATGGCGAATTGAATAATTGCGTCCAGCTAATTTTTCGGTTTTTCTCCCCTTTTTCTTGAAGTCTTGCACGCTATCTATGGATTCCAGAGACATTTTTTATACGAGTAAAGGTACTGATCTGTCTTAATTTTGGCGCTGGTTTGACCCAAAACGCAACAAAATTGTTGTGGTAGAGTCACTTTGAATAAGCCAGAACTAAGTTTTTTTTTTTTTTTTTTTTGCCTGAACAACTCTCTTATTTGATAAGGTTGCTTTGGCTGCACTGTCCCGAGCTGCTACAACCCCAATTTATGCACATACTCTGGTAAGAGCAGTATCAGCGAGGACCCAGAGATCCACAGTGTGGACAAATATTGGCTGTGGAATTCAAATAAAAAATGAATTATTTCACCTAAGGATAAAAGAACCTTGTGTTTTAAACTGCACAAGACGAGATGAGAAAGAAACGAAGAAGAAAAAGAAAGAAACGGCGAGCCCTTCTGGCTGTCGATCTTTTGACATCTTCTCTCACTTGAAATTTTCTTGTCTTGTTTCGATGTTTCACCATATAACAGCATTAATTTTCTCAAAATTATCGTTGGGATTCTTTAAAAATCCCAACAGAAGCAAAAAATACAACTGAGAAAAGAAGGAGCGACAAA